CTCGGCCATATACTCATTCTAGAGAGCAATTAGGAGATATATATCCTAAATTCACTACACTTCAATGGTAGTAAAATATCATACATGGATTTAATAATGACCATAACAAATAATTCTCAACTATTGAGTAGTAATTTCAGGATATTTTTTCTTTTCTTTAAGGTATGCATATTAATATAAATTGGACCATGTACATATAAGTTTACTACATGTAAACAAGTAGAAAGGTGCAAAAAGATAGTGGATGGTTATGCAAAATATTCTTAAAAGCATCATATCATTTTAAGGATCTTATCATGGTACACGCTATTTTTCAGAATTAATACCGTACAATGCATTCACTCATCCAAAAATTATTCACTGCTAGGAAAAAATGCTAGGAAAGAAAACAGATATGAGCCTCTTGAGGGGGAATAAGTCTAAGGTCTGCAGGATTCAAAGAGCCCATATACTTTATACCATGTTTTTAGTGTAATCATTCGAGATTTTATTCTTGCAATTACATGGCATACAATTCGTAACATGATCGCACTAACCTTTTTCAGAATTAAATTTAAAGTGTAGAATTTTTTTCAGAATTAATCTACTATGTACATGATTCAGAAAATATAAAGGTAGAAACACCACCCATTAAACTTCAGATTTAATGTGTATATATGCAGTTATGCACGCTCTTATACATACATACAGGTATAAGAAATACAAAAAATATGCATAAACAGAGTGTCTGGGGTTGATTATTCAGAAAACTACAGTAAAAACTAAAATTTCTGTGGAGCTATTCCATAATTTCCAGAAAAGCACGGGACATGTTCTACACTGAATCTGCAGGATTCATGGATGTAACGTAAAAAATTCAGATTAACACGAGCCCTTTCTTATTTTCTGGATTTCTCAATTTTCTCCCATAGCCCGGCCAATTCGGCAATTCATTACTAGCTGCTTCTGCATGAAGCCCCAACCGTCGGTGGCGTGCTACCGACAGCTATATAGGGACTGTGCATCAGCAGTATGCGTAGCTTCGGGCGAGACGCGAGCGGTATTCAATACGTGTGTTCATACGGGATGACGCGATGGGCTTATGGCCTCGGGTGACCGCGTGGCAACGGGACAGTGCAGCTGCAGGCTGTGATGCTCGAGAAGATTGCGGTGATGTGCGTGACACCGTGTGTCTGCCACGACCTGCTAGCTGCAGGAAGCAGGAGCGGCGAGCGAGCGATCTTGCAGCAAGCCGGCGATTTGGCTTACGGGGCATGACTTCATGCCAATGCCGTCCGTCCAGCACTCCTTCGTAGAGCACTTTGATACTGGTGTGCAGCCATCAACGTTGCGTTTGCGGATGTGACTCCTCTTTTCTTTCTTTTCTTTAAATTTTATATTTTTAAATAACCCTAGATGTGTATATGCAGGGCCTTATTTAGATTCTAAGTTTTTTCACTCTCTCCATCACATCAAATCTTTGGACACACGCATGGAGTATTAAATGTAGATAAAAAAATAACTAATTACACAGTTTGATTGTAAATTACGAGACGAATCTTTTAAGCTTAGTTAAGCCATGATTAGACAATAATTGTCAAATACAAACAAAAGTACTATAGTATCAAATACTGATTTCCAACCATCATCTGAACCAGGCCCAGAATAGCCGCGTTCGGTCGGCAAAGTTTAGTGGCGGTAGGCGGCAGGGGGCAGGGGGCGTTGGCTCACGTGCGGGCGAGCGGATGGCGATGCGCGGCGGCTCGGGTGCTGGCGGGCGGCGGTGCACGTCGGCACGCATGCAAGCGGGCGGACGGTGCTGGTATTCGCATGCAGCTTGGGACCATGGTGCCCCATCGATTTTTGATGCCGACAGATTTTTCTCTAGATCTATCTATGCCCTGATTTGGCATTCAAGCCTGATACTTGGTTTCAAAATTTCTCGGCATCTAGTAGATTAGAACACATTCAATCTAATCTACTTTTTAAAAAAATTAGAGTATGTACCTTCGGCTCTTGAGTTCGAAAAGTGAAGGCTGTCGCATGGGACAGTTCGGCTAGGCCGTGTTGACCTACCGGCGTGACGATGAGTCGACGCAGATTGGTTCATCAACAACATCGATGTTCTCGCCGTCATGGAGGTGGACATCAATGTACCGGCCTCTGTAGATGTAGGTAGGTGCAACGTCGGGGATGTTAAGGTGAGGCCCGGTCCTGTCAATTTATAGACCTAGAGCGAAGCTATAACGATAGGTCCTTTAATATAACTTTAATAATATAGTGATGTTTCTAATAAATATAATGCATACTAATCATTCTTATGAAACTAGTTATAAATTTTATCTTACCTTAAATTTTTCTTCTAACATTTACTGCTGCGAAGTCATTGATGATGGCTTCAATATCAATTTCATCCACAACAACTATTGCCCACTCATTTGGATTTCTTGTAGTGCTTGTATTACTCCTAAATTTTTTTTCAATAGATTCTCTTTGTGATTCTATCAAGCCCTCTATCCTTCTCTTCTTTATTCTTTTCTCATTTTATGCATGCTTTTTGGGCAACGTGAGTTCACTGTAAATTTAGAAAAGTAGTAAGTAATTAAAAAATATGTCATACTAAATTCAACATGGTTGCTGCACCATATGGGACTCCTAAATCCCAAATTTAAAGAAGTAAAGAATAAAGATTGGGGACAAGAGCAAATATTGATTAGGGGAGCTTAGCCGCTTAGGGCTAGATTCTTAATTCTTACCTCCGTATACAAAGACCAGGAAGCCAGGAACAGACGGAAGTAGATGCCGCCGGCCAGCGGCCCCTTGCACTCGAGATCACCAAGACGCATGGGATCGCTCGCTGCTCGCAGCCTCGCACGGGAACGCGGAAGGCGAGCAGAATCGACGCGGAGTCAGTATGCCTGGTTCAGCTGTTCCTATGGGCCATAGACAAAATACTACTTCTACTTGCACATTTTGGGTTGGCCCCCCTGGCCTCGAGGGCCCAGTGCGGCGGCCCAGCTCGAACCCCCACAGGGCCGGGCCTGGTTGAGGTCATCGAAGTAGTCATAGTAGACACCTCGGCATGAAGCATCAGTGTTGAGTCGACGGTGACTTCAACGGCAATGTCGACGCAGAGCTTTTCGTACCGAGAACGTGTTATAAAACACGTCGTCAGCGGTCAGGACATTCCTCTCTCCGTCTCTCATGATCAATACAGTAGATTAAAGTAAAAGAATAAATTGACAGAGACTATTCTTTATTTATGTGAATATTGGCCATGTTCGTTTTTTTTATAATCCATACTTTTCAGCTTGTTTTTTCAGGTGGAAGAGTGTTTTTCTCTCATAACAAATCAGCCGGAACAATGTTTCGTCTTGTTTTTTTAGCGAAGCGAACAGGGCCATTGGTAATTACAATATAGAGCTTGCACGTATATATAGCCCTGCTAAGGCCTACGAGTTTAGTAAGAATCCACGTACGATGGACCAAGATTAAGATTCCTTCTACAGTAAATTCCCCGAACACGCTCATGCGATTGGAAATAAACTCCAAGGGCGCTCTTGCGTTCTTCCGACGGCTTCACGTAAAACAAAGGAGCCACACGCGATCGATATGTGTCCATCTCCCACCCAACAACCACCTCCAGTAGCTCCATCCCCAAGCCCTGGTCACTCGTGGATTGAACTCAATCCAGGTTGGCTACAGCCAACTCTCATGACCACACACTTCCAATCGAGCTCCGATAATCTTTATTTTATTTATCCTTCTTGATTTGTCTCTTATTTTCACAACTTTAGTACTGCTAGTCTGCTCAAAATATTTTCTTTAAATGTCTAACTTAATTGTTCTTTTTGCTAATTATATGTTATGGAGTTCATGTGAAGTTCAGTGAGATGTAGCAGCATATTAGGCCACGCGGTTAGTTTGCCGTGGATGATTGTTCTCGGTTTGTGGTGCAAACAAGGGTTCGTTAATTTTTTCCTCCATAAATTGGTATAATCTCCTTTAAAAAATAAAAATTGGTATAAAAATGAAAATTGTGCATTGTAAGGATTGAGTCTAAATTACAATCTCTCACCTTAAAATTACCTATAAAAGTATACATTGAAACTACTCTAATAGGTAGTTTTCACCGCTAGACAGAGTCATTAGTCTAAACCCAAGGCCCGCCATTATTCTCCTCTCCGTGGATAAAAGGATATGCCTACCTAGTAATCGAGTGTTCTGAGCCCCCTGACACTCGATTTTCCTCTCCACGTCTTCTTCCTCCTTTCGATGCGCGGCTGCCGCCCACCGCCCCACCACAGTGTGGTAGGGTATCGCTGCCTACAGTGGCCTCCTTCTCCCCCCTCATCCCGCCGCCGTCATAGGCATAGGTGCCCTTGCCCCGACCTGACCCGCCGCCTCCACCGCCACCCGAACCCTAACACCGCCTCCCGCCGGAGAGAGAGCCGTCGGATTTAGAGAAGAAGAGGAGCTGAGCAAATCCAGCGCCCAGAAAATCGTACGCCACCGGCAAGCAAAACAATCGAGCGTTGTTTAGCATTTCTCGGATAAAATCGTAACGGTGAAATGTTTTGTACAGCAACACATCGGAAGCAATACAATATGCATCTGCCGCGCCCGCAAGCCAGCACGCCGCCGTCCGTTCCTTACCCTTGGCTTGCCGTGCGGGCAGAGCGAGAGGTGGCGGCGACGTGCATCACCTTTCACGCGCATGAAATTGGATGGAGTCCCGTCCAACTCTGCAAGTTCAATTCCTTTTCCGTCGTGGACACCCCATCGTTCGTAATCTCAGATTAGCATAGCCCACACGGCTGCCTTCCCCGTCGCCGTCCGATCCAGATCCCACGCCACGCCCCCGCCTCAGCTCTCCTCATCAGACATCACCCCCCCTCCGTCCGGGCGCAGCGCCCAGCGCCGACCAGACAGGGTCCTCGTCACAAACACGCGCTCCCCTCGTCTCGCCGCGCCGATCCAGCCCGCCCGGCGCTCGGCCCCGCGGCGCGCGCCCGCGCGCAATGGCCCTCGACACCGCCGACGCGCCGCGCTCGCGCCCCGACGCCAGCGCCGCCGTGCACCCGCTCCTCTCCGACGACGACGGCTCCACCTCCACGGCCGCGGCGGGTGAGACAGCGGAGGAGCTGGACGCCAGGTACGCCCCCTACGCGCGCCGGGACGCGTACGGGACCATGGGCCGCGGCCCGCTGCCCGCGGCGCAGGCGGCGCGGCTGGCGCTGGCCGCCGCGGTGCTCCTCCCGCTCCGCTTCGTCGCGGGGATGCTCGTGCTCCTGCTCTACTACTTGGTGTGCCGCGCGTGCACGCTGTTCGTGGATGCGGATGAGGGGCGCCCGAGGCTGGCGGGGTGGAGGAGGAAGGCGGTGCTGCGGTCCGGGTGCGCGCTCTCGCGGGCGATGCTCTTCGTCTTCGGGTTCTACTGGATCCGCGAGACCCACAGGAGATTCCCCAATGCTGAGGTTAGTTCCGGTGTCATGCCTGTACTGAATAATCTCAGCGTTTTGGTTCTGTGTTGCTTCAAAAGTACTCCTACTGTATTTGGTCCTAGAGCACCAAGGTTGATGGGTTGTAGGAAGTAGAGTGACAGCGACACTAAGGTCAGTGTTACTCACTTCCTCTGGAATGCATCTGCAGCAACGTTTATGATGCTGATGCAACTATGGATCGGCAAGAAATAGGGTCCGAGTTAACCTTTTCTTGGCTAGAGCATGTAGAGTAATTGTATTGATTACATTTAGATATCTATTCGTTTCCTGATGATGGAATTATTTTTTGAAGTCCTGTATGCACTCTTAGGCATTTATGCTATTGTAAATTACAGAGATATTTTTTTCTCTGTTTTCCCTCTTTGTCTGTGGGCAATGTTGATGTGCTTCCATTCTTACTTACTGCTGTGGAAGTGATTTGCTGAGTGCCACTAATTGGCTTAAATTAGCATAGGGAAACTTGGATATATGTAGCTAATAAAATTCGTATGCATGGTGGTTTGTTTTGCTTGTTCAGATAGATTGAAGATAAGTTAGATTGATGTTATGTGACTTGTGTTCCCCTGCTTTATTAGATGCTTTCAAATCCTCGAGGCAGGTTTATTGTCAGTATGCAGTTGTCTGATATTTCTACTACGAAACCCTTAATAAGTGGCTGGAACTTGGCATCATACTGTGTTGTATTAGTCACAAATCCAGAATCTGGATGCTACATATTCTCACTTTAGGACAATGACTGCCAATTCCCTGTGCCCCCTACCCTTTCATAAAAATATCTTAGTGCTCAATTCAATTTGCGATAACTAGCAATAGAGACGTTTGGTGCCTTAAAGCACTCAACGAATTCGGATTGTACTTCAGTAATGGCAATGATTTCTTCTGCACGTAATGCATCATATAACTTCCGCAGATTACTGCTGTTCTGCCCATGTGACTTGAACTATAAATTTTGTTCCCTGGTTCCCCTGTCATCTTGGTGTACATTTTTTCAGGATGTAAATCAGGACCAATCTGAAGAATCCCAAAGGCCAGGGGCAATTGTATCTAATCATGTGTCTTATGTGGATATTCTTTATCACATGTCAGCATCCTTTCCAAGTTTTGTTGCTAAGGTACTTATTTGTTGCTCCACATAACTTATTCAAACTTTACAAATCAATGTATTCTAGCTTTGTATGTGTCCTATCAATGCTTAAATGCATCCTTATTATAGGAGTCAGTGTCCAGGTTGCCACTTGTTGGTCTCATAAGGTACCTTTTTCGTGCTTATTAATACTTTCTTAATTTCTGGTAGTGTCTTATTCATATATATATTCTGCTAGAAGATGGACTTAGCTAGTTTCATTTATATCTTCATATGATATATGTAGAATATATTGAAACTAACTTTTCTTTTCTGGTGTAATGCAGCAATTGTCTTGGATGCATTTTTGTTCAACGAGAATCGAAGTCTTCAGATGCTAAAGGTGTCTCAGGTATATATTGACTACATTCCTGGAAATAGTTATACTTGCGCTAGTTTTTTCGAGCCAAATAAAAGTTATTTATTATTGTTAGCATCCTCAAAATATTCGGTTAGTATTCAACGGCTTCTTTTACTAACACTTCAAATATTGCATTATATTCACGACTTGTAATGTTCTGTAGTTTTTGTTCATTCATTGTTTCTTTCCGAACTTTCTGTACTGTATGTAGGTGCTGTAACTGAAAGGGTCCGAGAGGTTTGTCAAGATAAGAATACCCCAATGATGTTGTTGTTCCCTGGTTAGTGTATGACCATTTATTTTATTTTCCAGTTTTTCTTGTAACTATGCTTTATTTAATCTAATGGTTGCCAATTTCCTGAGTCATGATCATTTTTGAAGGGTTATTAGCACCATCCTTTAAAAGGTGCTGTTTCCTATGTGCTTTTAAATTAGTCATCCTCCCTTATCACATGGGCAAACTTTGTATTGTCTTGAAGCTGGACATAACTATTCAAAGTGTAATGATGAAAACATGCTTTGCTGAGAGAATAGCTGAATAGAACCATTTTGAGCTACAGGATTAGCAGGAATTCAGAATCATGTTCCATTGCCTATGTATAAACATTGTTACCTTTCAGTGTTCACCCACAATTTTGTGCTCCAGTCTGTTTCTACTTTATTTATATCACGCGATCAAAATATATTTGGCTTCATCATTTTCTATTCCAACATACATGTTGGAAAGTTAGCAATCTTATTCTATGCAATCTTGTTTCCTTTCCTTCGTTTTGTCTCTTCAAGAAACTTGATTGTCCTGTATTATAGACTTACGCTTTCCATTTCTTTCAGAGGGAACTACTACAAATGGGGATTACCTTCTTCCATTTAAGACCGGAGCCTTTCTTGCAAGTGCACCAGTGCAGCCAGTCATTTTGAAATACCCTTACAAGAGATTTAGTCCAGCATGGGATTCCATGGATGGAGTAAGTACTTATTGCAAATCTACACTTTCTTAACTATGTCAATTTAGAACCTAAAAGTAGACACAGGAGTGCTTGAGCAATTTAGTGAAAACCTGTGTGAAGAGTTCCACGCTTGAGAAGTTTGTTTTATCTATTTTTAAGCTCTTATTCAGGCTTTGATTAGGATGTTGCCAACTTTGCCATTATTATTTTTGTTCAATAGTACTGTCCATGTTTGTTTAACTAATAATCCATCCGTTCGAAATTGTAAAGATACATAGTTTTTGCTATGCACTTGGGATATATACTGTTTCTAGATACATAGTAAAAAACATGTATCTATAAAAGTTAAAATGACTTACAATTTGGAATGAAGGTAGTACTGTCTAATATTTTGACCTTGTTGTGCCTAACTGCCACAACTTCTAGATAGTTCAATAAACTACACACATGATATCACATTAAGCCACTAAGGACATTGTCAAAGAAATACATTATTATTTAGGATAGATAGTGAGACTGCCATGCTAGAGCACTTCTCCATATGGAACATCCAAACATTTATTCATGGTTTATATATAATTTCTTAAGTATATGGCACTTAACCAACTTTGTGTCTATCTTTTGTGTTGGCTATTACATTTATTTCTGCATTGGCAATAATATGCTCTTTTTTCTTGATTCATTGAGTTCTGACACATTTTTTTTTCATTTTTTCTCTTACAAAAACTTGCAGGCACGCCATGTGTTTTTGCTGCTCTGTCAATTTGTAAATCACATGGAGGTGGTTCGGTTGCCTGTATACTATCCTTCTCAACAAGAAAAGGAAGATCCTAAGCTCTACGCAAATAACGTCAGAAAACTGATAGCAATGGAGGTAGGCTAAAACTAAAACTGAGCCCATGTCTAAAAGCACTCCATGCAAAGGCCCAACAGCCTATTCGTAATATTTGTATCCACCAAGGGCTGGAGAATATGATTGACCTCTCCTTACCTATAAAGAGGATGGCGCCGCTGTCAGAAAAACCATTGCCAATATGGGGAGGAAAGATAAGCTTGGAAAAGGAATGTGAGGGAGAGTGCCCTTTCTTGATCCCTTGGCTCCTTTATATATTTGATGAGGTGAATCTTCTCTCCAGCCCTTAGTGAGTAGGCCTGCAGCGGCTGCTGCAAACACACACCTGCCCAACACTATTCCCTATGCACCAGCTGCAGCTGCTAAAATAAGTCCTTTTCACAAAAAAAATCCTAAAAAAGGGTTCTTGGGCTTGTACGTAGTGTTTTTTTTTTGGCATGGGTTTCGTTCTAGCGTGGGCCTTTCCTCCAATAATAAGCCCTAGAATGACCGATCACCTTTTTGAATATGAAATTAATATGTTCATGATCCCACCATATAATAACCTTCTCTTTCTCCAGGGCAATTTAATTCTTTCTAATCTTGGGCTGGCGGAGAAGCGCGTGTACCATGCAGCACTGAATGGTACTAGTAATCTACCTGGTGCTAGTAGACATCAGAAAGATGATTAAAAGACGTTGCGTTGCTTCTTTTGTAAACTGACAGGTGAGGAGCATTTAAAATGTAACTGTGTGCGTGTTTTATATTTGTAATGCGGCGCTTTGTTTGTTTGTTTGAGGAGCCTGTTGAATACCCTCCTGATACTACATTGTACAAAAACATTAGCCGTTATAGTTTGATATGGTTCATGCCCTCCTATGAGGTCTTTCAAATTTCGAGCGCTGCTGTTTTCTTCACCAGATGACCAGATCTGAATCTTCTACTTGCTTTCCCACAGTTTTATTTGATGTCAACTGTGAAATCTAATTCAGAAACACTTGTTGATTGCGGTGGTCTGTCTTTGTACGCTTGTTTTATTACTTATTACTTAGTATTGTCATCTCTTAAATTGTCACACTTATTAAAGTATCTCAAGAACACAAGAACATTTGCTATCCCCTTCCTGTGAGAAACCCTCTGCCCACAGCCTTGCCAATTTTTTGCGTCGGGGTCTCGGGGCCAGCGGCGGATCCAGAAAATATTTTAGGGGGGGCTGAACAACACTGCTGCTCGATCTTAAGTCTTAGCCCCCCCTACACTATAGAACTTTACCTAAAAAATCATAGGGGCTCTACAGTAATTTGCACTATTTTGGGATGGGTAGGGGGGGCTTGAGCCTCCCCCGCCCCACTGCTAGATCCGCCCCTGCTCGGGGCAGAGTGAAACACTCAAATAAATAGATATGTGTTTTTTTTGTCATTCTTTGCTATTAACATTTGATAGTTTTTTCTTCTGTTACAATGCACGGACAAATTTGATAGTAAATAAGAAAAGAGAATTTGGTCTCCAGGCATCCTCTGCTCCAAGTTTCTTGCTAGCTAAAGATGGAAATCAGAGCTGATTCCGTAAAGTGTGTGTACAAGATATAGAGAAGATGTCCAATGATGATAAAAAATATAGAGAACGAGAGTGTGGGTTTAAGAAAACTTTGAGAAAGTTTTTTTTTTCTTTTTACTTGTGCGGGGTGGTAAGGCCCGCTAGGGTCATCCTAGGATTACGCAGGGTCGATATCTTTCTGTTCCACTAGCAGCAAGCTGTTCGCGTCCCTTTTGAGGACTCGTTCTAATCTTCCATATATCGATATTTTACAAAATAGATCTCCAAAGAATATAGTGATGGGATACGAGTGGCGAGCAAATGCAAGAACTGCACAGAACCTTGGCATAAGTGTCATCAATCCTTTGATAGCATTGCACCGTACCGTACCACCTATTTTGTATCACCCGTTAGGAATTGTTTCGTGGCAACAGAACAAGACAAAAACTTTGCATGAAATTCTCTCCTGTGCCAGTGTTGCTACGGAACATGCATGGCTCGTTTATCCCGGAACAGAAAACCTGAGGGCGGTCCCACTAGAAAACACTATGTAATAGTAGTGTCCATGATAATGCCATGTCATATAGACATTAGCTGAGAAAATATGGTTCAATGTATAATGCTAATTATTCCTAACAAATAAACTTTTGCGACTATTTTCTCCTCCTCTTATATCCTCCAACTATAGTCAGACATTATTCTAGTTAAATTTTCACCTCACTCAAATTATATGAAATAACATTCCAATTCATTGGGTGATCAAATTTTTGAATCGATCCAATGACCCAGAAATAATTAGAACTTATATTCCTAGTGGCCACAATTTTCATTTGGTTCGGATTTTGCACTCACGCTCGCCTGCGCTCAGCATCCTTATACTGACTCTGACTAGGTTGTTCAGCATGTTTTACCAACACTATGTACTCATTATTTTCAACATCTTGTGCTTTATATTCTGTACTAACCAGGACGAGAAGGTGTCAAATTCATTAAATAAAGAAAAGATTAAACAGGGGTCCCCCAGGAGCAAAAAGTAAAAAAACTCTGGAGGAGGTAATAACTAATAAGATGGCTTGCACCTGCAAGAAGAACCCAAGTTATATATACCTTGTTCCTTTCCTTAATATACATAGAGTTCCTAGAGGACCAAAACAGCGACGAGAGAAGAATGAATGAGAGCCAATTAAAATTCTTATCTAAGAACTTGGCTTTATCCTAATCTTCACCAAATCTCCTCTCCTCTAGCAAACTCAAGCCCCTGTACTCATGACAAGGCTATATGGCATAGAGATAGTGCTAGGAAAGCCCAAATGGCCAAGCGGAAGTAAAGAAAAGTCAGGAAAACACCTTGAAAACACAAAGAAGATGATTTTCACCTCTCGAGGTGTGAAAGTTCCACGCAACCTATTTTCAGCACAAAGAATCGAGCAAGAAAATCATCTTCCTTAGGACATTGTGAAGTCCTAATGAAAATCATGAGTTGAAAATCACACGGCCTATTTCCACGCAGATTGGGAGGAGAAGAACAAGTTAAGCATGAATTTGATCTCTTGATTACAATGAATGATTACAAGTCACTCCTAGTAGATCTCAAAACTTAGATGACGAAAAGCTCAATCAAAGATCCACTCGTCTCTCCCTCTCTTCCTAGCCCTAAACTAAAGGCTCATCAACCTAACAAATGAGAGTCTAATACCTAAGGCTTCCAAAGACTTAGTCTCCACAACTAGCTATCTGAAAGCTCTAGTTTGGTTTTGGTGAATTGATGAAACCCTAAGTGCTAACCTAGTTTATCAAATGATCATGAGATAGGTAGCACACTCCAAGTGGTGAAGCAAATGAAGATCATAGCATGATAAAGATGATGGCATGGTGATGATCAAGTGCTTCGACTTGGAAAGAAGAAAGAGTAAAACAAAAAGCTCAAGGCAAAGGTATAATTTGTAAGAGCTATTTTGTTTTGGTGATCGAGACACTTAGAGAGTGTGATCATATTTAGGATTGATAGCCGTACTATTAAGAGGGGTGAAACTCGTATCGGAATACGGTTATCAAAGTGCCACTAGATGCTCTAATTCATTGCATATGCATTTAGGATCTAGTGGAGAACTAACACCCTTGAAAATGTTTATGAAAATACGCTAACACATGTGCACAAGGTGTTACACTTGGTGGTTGGCACATTTGATCAAGGATGAAGAAGTTAGAGATGAAATGGAGTTGGTCGCAAAGGCGCTGGCGTCGGTCTACTGACCGGACGCTGGGTCGCTCAGCGATCGGACGCTGAAGTGGTGCGTCCGGTCGAGTTGTCAGAATGCACAGTGCTTAGGGTTAAGCACCGGACGCTGGGCTGTGTTCGGTCAAGCATGACCGGACGCGTCCGGTCGGCAAAAGTCGGTTTTGGAACCTTACTGTAAACGACCGGACGCTGGGGGTTCAGTGTCCGGTCAACTTCAGCGCAGTGTCTGGTCAAGACAGATGACCGTTGAAATCGGTACACGTGGCTAACAGCGAGCGACCGGACGCTGGGGGCTCAGCGTCCGGTCACCCCGCGTTTTACCCAGTGAAGGGGTACAACGACTCTATTTCATGGGGGCTTCTATTTAAACCCCATGGCCGGCTCAAGCTCACCCTCTTGGCTATTTGCATTGACATAGCAACCTTGTGAGCTTAGCCAAAGCCCTCCCACTCATTTCCATCATAGATTAAACATCTTTGTGAGATTGGGAGTGATCCAAGTGCATTGCTTGAGTAATTGCATCTAGAGGCACTTGGTGTTCGTGTTTCGCTGCGGGATTCGCTTGTTACTCTTGGTGGTTGCCGCCACCTAGACGGCTTGGAGCAGCGAGGATCGTTGAGCGGAGGGTGGTGATTGTCTCCGGCTCCGATCGTGGTGATTGTGAGGGGTTCTTGACCTTTCTCCAGCGGAGCGCCAAAAGGTACTCTAGTGGATTGCTCGTGGCTTGTGTGATCCTCATCTTGTGTTGGTTGTGCGGCACCCTATTGAGGGTTTGGCGTGTGATACCAATTAGCGCGTGAACCTCCAAGTGAGTGAATCGCCACAACGAGGTCTAGCTTGCCGGCAAGCAAGTGAACCTCGGTAAAAAATCATTGTGTTCATCATTGATTCCGAGGTGATTGGTCTTCATTGTTATCCACACTTGTGATTGATTGGTTCATACATCTACACGGTGGTATAACCTTCTTGCCTACTCATTACATTACCGCAAACTAGTTGTCAAGCTCTTTAGTGTAACTAGTTGTGAGAGCTTGCTAGTTTGGTTAGTGTGGCTCTTTAGTTAGCTTTTGAGAGCACACTAAATTAGTGTAGTGATATAGCTATTGTGTGGATATACTTCATCTAAACTAGAATTGTGATAGGTGGCTTGCATTTTGGTAGGCTAGCGCAAAACTCGCTTCGCCTCATAATTGTCTAATCCGTTTGTTAAGTGTTGTTGTAGAAATTTTATTAGGCTATTCATCCCCCCTCTAGCCATTAGGACCTTTCACCATCTCTCATATATGTCCCCCCAAGTTGCCCTTACATGAAGCACTTAGCCCAGATACCCATTAGGGGTAATTAAAACCATCCAAGTTTCACTTCATCGACCCGACGAGCCCAACGCCTTCTCTACTTTGCTTGGTGTCGATGCAAGCTTCGAGATGCCACCACGTGTCCACCGATCCACCACTCCATGAATTTGAGGCCCAAACTAGTTAAACCCACCGTTGATGATTTTGAGACTGAAACCACCAAACCATTCACTCCTGTTTTTGAGGCCCAAACCAGCAAACCTCCTCCTGATGGCTTTGAGGCCCAAGCCACCAAACCACCCATCCGTGGTGAAAGCATCTAGGCCCCTAGTTGAGTTTCGGTGATTAGTGACAATACGAGATTACTATGACTAACGTGTGTTTTGCAGATGCAATTAAGTTAGGTTATGGTAATGGCAATTGATTGGGCAATCATGGTTGTCATGCCCCTACGATGGAAATCGTTTCGGTTTTCAAAGGATGGACAACAAGGTTAAGGATGAACTAGTTCTAAGTGTCGTTTGGAGTTGAAGAGACACTTAGAGTAGTTTAGGTCTTTGTTTTTCCTTTTGTCGTACTATTAAGAGCGGTATGGACGGGTAGCTTGACCTAGGTGAGTCTAGTGGGTTATGTGTGGTGTACACTTATCAAATCTAGTACTAGTTAGCTCCAAAATAGCCCTTAGATCAATTGGAGCAAACTTCATTCACATATGATTGCGAGTTGGAAGTGAATGGAGGGTCAAATGTTGACCGGACGCTGGTTCTGGTGTGACCGGACGCTGGCGCAGAGTCCGGTCAGTTCATTTGATCAAGGTGAAGTCGTCTGGATGCGACCGGACACTGAGTGAAATGTGACCGGACGCTGGGTGCCAGAGTCTGGTCAACTCCAGTAAGGTTCCAGAGAGGGAGAATCCTGATCGGACGGGTCCGGTCAGTGCTGACCGGACGCTGGCCAGGTTCCGGCTGCTGACCGGACGCTGAGCAGCAAAGTGACCGAAAGCTGGGTTCCAGAGTCCGGTCAACATCAGTAAGGTTGCAGAGAGCAGTTTTTATGACCGGACGCTGGCCAGAGTCCGGTCACAACTTAACTGCTTGGCTGCAGGGAGAACTGACCGGAGCATCCGGTCACCTTGACCGGAGCGTCCGGTCACCCCGCAGTGGCACATAACGGTTCGTTTTAAATGAGGGATTATAAATACTTCATCTATTCACTCAAGAGATCACTTTTGCTCATTCCAACAGCTGAGAAACACCCTTGAGAGTGTCAAGAAGAGCAATGTCCTAGTAAGGTGATTGAGATATGAGAATCTAAGAGAGAGGCCTCATTAGTGAAAGTAAGAGTAGCAAAGTGTGCATCCACCCTTCTCATTAGACTTGTCGTGGTCAAGTGGGAGTTCGTGCTTGTTACTCTTGATGATCGCCATCACCTAGACGGCTTGGTGGTGATTGGGAGTTTGGTGATTATCCGGCGGAGCTTATGGATGACCCAACTCACATTGTGAGCGGTTGTGGGTGATTCACCGCGACGGAGTGTTGAAGAATCAACCCGTAGAGATCACTTGATCCTTGCGCGGATCAAGGGGGAGCTACACCCTTGCGCGGGTGCTCCAACGAGGACTAGTGGGGAGTGACGACCCTCCGATAGCTCGGTAAAATATCTTCGCGTTCCTCATTCTCTCTTTACTTTAAGCATTTATTTTGAGCAATTCAATTCTTGTATTTACATTCATAGAATTGCCATGCTAGAGTAGGATTGAAATATAGATTGCTAAACTTTTGTGCTTTAGAACGATAGAAACATTTTTTAGGCACAAGGGGTAAAGTGGGCTAACCGTAGGGTTTAATTATTGCGAAGAATTTTAGAATTAGTCCAATTCACCATCTCTTTTGGACATCTTGATCGTTTCACGCGGTTTTAAAGGACCAAACCGATAAACCCTCGTGCACACCTACCTCGCCAAGCATGACTAACTGATGTCGATGCGTCTCTGACTTCCATGTCGTCGGCCCAACGGCGGTCCACCAAGTGCCCGCGACCCAACTTGGCACTAACACCTAACACATACAATATATATCATTGGTTGGCGGTTGCTTTTTGTTTAGGTAGCTGCTACTTAATACTGGTGACGTCGACGCGCGCAGAGAGCACTAGAGATTTGATCCCGGAAACATGCACTCCCTACTAATTTTTTAAGCCATACTGAAATTAATTGCATCAATGGATATGCACATAGTGCAGGTGCACTAGTGTTGCATTGAGCACAATCAACATGATGATAAGTAAAACAATGATAAACCTTGGATTCGCACGTACACATGCAGAAGCCAAGCAGCCACCGCACCACTCACTCTCGTTTGCTCGCTCTCTCACTCTCTCTCGTCGTGTATAAATAGCACAATTCTGGTCGATCGCTTCATACACAACAATACAAATAAATCAAAACGCAACGGTCCATAGAAACTAAGCACAGAAATATAGCGCCAACAAATTAAATGGGTCCTTTGCACGTCCCTAGCAGTAGTAGTCCTCGCAAGTTTTACCACTTTGTGCTCTTCCATGTGCACCCGTTCTGGGTCCACCTCTTGTACTTCCTTTCCATCTCCGTCTTGGGTTTCTTGATGCTGAAAGCTCTGCCCATGAAGTCCGGCTCCGTCCCTAGGCCCTCGGCTCTCGACCTGGTCTTCACGTCCGTGTCAGCGACGACAGTCTCCAGCATGGTCGCCGTCGAGATGGAATCCTTCTCCAACTCCCAGCTCCTCCTCATGACCCTCCTGATGCTCCTCGGAGGCGAGGTGTTCACAAGCATGCTTGGTCTCCACTTCACCTGCACCAAGCTCATCAAGAAGAGAGAGACACCTCATAGTAATAATAGTCTCAATGGTAATATTAATGGGCCGCCACCGGCATCTAGTAGCTTAGAGCACAGTCGCCGTCGCCGTCCCATGGAGATGGAAGCCCAGGCCGCCGCCGTCCAAATGGAGCTAGCAGGGTTCAACAAGGATTTCGCATCCATGGCTAGGCTGCTAATGTGCATCGTGCTGGGCTACCTCTTGGTGGTGCACCTCGCCGGCTACACGCTCATACTAATCTACCTCAGCGTGGTCGGCAGCGCGAGAGCAGTGCTGGTTGGCAAGAGGATCAGCCTGAGAACCTTCTCCGCCTTCACGGTCGTCTCGACGTTCGCAAACTGTGGGTTCGTGCCAACGAACGAGGGGATGGTGTCCTTCAAGTCCTTCCCGGGCATGCTCCTCCTCGTCATGCCGCACATCCTCCTCGGGAACACGCTCTTCCCCGTCTTCCTCAGGCTCTCCATTACAGCGCTCGAGAGGGTCACCAGGAGGCGAGACCTCCGCGAGCTGCTGAAGGACGGAGGACCCGGCGGCGGCGGACCAGCTGCCGCCGCTATAGGCTACGACCACCTGCTGCCTGGAGCCCGCACATGGTTCCTGGCTCTCACCGTGGCGGTGTTCCTGCACTACTGGATTTAGGCGCTTTGCCGGGTGCCGAATGCACCCGGCAAAGACTACTTTGCACTCGACAAAGCGTTTGCCGGGTGCAGCACTCGGCAAAGAGCCTCTGGCAAAAAATTAGTCGGCAAATATTTTTTTGCCGGGTGTTTTTTATCGGGCACCCGGCAAAGACTTTGCCGAGTGCAAACCCGACGCCCGGCAAAGAAAAGTGGTCGTTACGGCGCCGGCTCCGTCATCCCTTGCTTTGCCGGGTGCCATGTCAGAGACACCCGGCAAAGATTTTTTTAAATTTTTTTTAAAATTTTCTTTGCTGGGTGCCGTGCCAGGAGGCACCCCGCAAAGATTTTTTTTATTTTTTTTATAATTTCTTTGCCGGGTGTCGCACCGCGGGGGCACCCGACAAAGAGTTTTTTTTTATTTTTTTTCGTAATTTCTTTGTCGGGTGTTAGGTTATGGGGCACCCGGCAAAGAATTTTTTTTTTGAAAAAACTTTGCCGGGTGCCCTGGCCCTGGCACTCGGCAAAGATGGAAATTCTGAAGGAATTCCCAGCTTTGCCGAGTGTCAGGGCCAGGGCACCCGGCAAAGCCTCAACAATTAATTTTTTTATTTTGTTTTTTGATTCTATAATCACAAACACGGCATATAAAAGATATATATCACATCTGAAGCATCACAAAGACAATATAGCGCATATATATCACATCCATCTCATCACAAACTCAATCCCACACATATATATCACATCGCGAATACAATACCTCACATACACGACATCACAAACATAATAGGTCCAATAACCATCGAAACAAGTCGATAGTGGATCACAGTGCATCACATGTCCATCAAGCGGTGAAAAAGAGATACAAACTAAAGGTGGGGAGGAAACCGAGTGCCTGGTGAAGGAAACTCGGCACCGCCTGCTTGCACCGAAGATGGGTTATTCGAACCCGCTGACGGAGGCTGCATAAAGGACAAGAGATTCAGGCGCTTAGAGTGGGTCATCTAATGAAAGCACTAGTCGAAGCAATATGGATTCATACTCACTGGACTAGCTACAACTGGTGGCGGCGCTGGAGCGAACATCGCACAGTACACCGTTCACTTGCCCAAAGTTCTGCAGAGAACATCGTAATCTCCCATGGTTGCTTGGCTTTGTCTCTCCCTTTCGCCCGCTCGGCTTGTCTTTCCGCTTGGCCACCTCGGTCCTCACCGCCAGTCCCGCACTCTGAGTCATCCTCTCGTTCTCGACTGCAACATTTCAATCGAATGTTTTAGTAATGTAAAGGTAACTAAGTTATGTAAAGATCAATGTACGAAGAGTTAAACCGGACTAACTTTGGAGGCGTCGACCCGCTTCTTGTGAAGGGGACGGCCGTTGGCGTATGGCGGGCCTCCGCCCGGTACTTGCTCGGATCTGGGAGAGGGAGGGAATAGAGCCAGACTCAGGGTGCCATCGCCAAGCCAGTACCACCCATGCTTCTTGCCCTGTCCGATCCTCATGACGGTCGTGCCATCAATGTCGTCGGTGCTCGAATCCTAGTCCGCCCCTGGACCGACCTTGCCTCCGACGCCGCGAGGAGCCGATGCTTGGTGTGGGCGCCGGGTTCTTTGTCGACTCGGGTGGGTCATCCGGGCTGAAGGTGACAGCGAAAGTCGCCTTTCCCTTGCGGGCCATTCCATACGCCATGAACGTGGACAAAGGCTGGCCACCATGCGACATCGACTACAAGAAAAACAACAAGATGATTAGAAGAAACATGCAGAATGGAGCGTCAGAATACTAAAAATGAATTCACGCGTACCTAAGCTTGCTTTGTACGCGCCGAGGTCATGGCGGGCCGCCTTGGTGGTGTGTGGGCCTGTCGCTGCAAAGCCCGCTCCGGTGGGCTTCGTGTTCCTGGATATAACCCTCTGTGAACCACCTATCCACGATCATCTCCCAGCAGTCGGCAAAGGACTCGCACCACCATGGAATCATCTACATGTCATAAAGAATTTGAGATGTAAGACGACCAAATGAAAGCTACTTAATCTCAAAACGAATCAGTATTATTCTTCTTCATTTACCTCAAGGAACTGTTCCCGGTCGAGGCATCTGTCTTGCTGTGTGTCTTTCTCGACTTTTCGACCAAGTCGCGTGGCGTAGTACTTGATGATGCAAGTGAGGCGCTCCTCGTAGTGCATGTCGCTGATGCGTTTCGGCACTTTTCACCAAGTTCTTCTCCGCCTCTCCTCTGTCCCTCTTCACACACGAAAAAAGTCTCTGAGACAGACACAATGTATCAATTCATTATGTCAAAAAGTGTCAAATGAATGCGATTTATTGATCAAAGTTGTGCTGAACGAGACTTACCAGAACTCTCTCCGACCCGCTCTCGCTTGTCTTCATAATCTGCGTCGGGGCAGATTTGTAGTGGTCCCACGATTTGGCGGCCCCACAGTGCGTCTTGTGCGTGACAATGCGGGGTAATAGTGCTCGCACACAAGCCCCAAGATGTGGTTGGGGTTGCGTGAGTCACCAGCGACACAACCTCCCAGTGCCTGCACAAGTCATTAACAAACATTATTAGTTTCTCGGACAATTTTCAACAGGTTATATGAAATAGCTGTGATTAAATCTAAAGTTAGTTACGTGTCCTCCTGAGGGCGGATCACTGGGCGTAGGGGAGGAAGCGGAGGCCCAGGGAGTTTTGAGGGACCTCGCAAGTAGGGGCTAGCCGCAGCAGAGGCAGTGGAACTACTTCCGGCCTCACCGCCCTCCTGTGCCTCTCCCTCGCTGTCCGTCGCCCGAACCTCGTCCGTCGCCAGAACCTGCTCGTCCTCCGAGGAGTCCGTGGTATGGCGCTCCTCCTCCGGCATGTCACGCGGCCTGACTAGAGGAGGCCGGCCCCTCCTGCTGCCGCTCCCACAGCCGCTGCTCCTGGCCCTCTGCCTCCTCCCGTCCGATGCGTTCTCACATGTGGATTCAAGCGCTTTGCCGGCAAAGGTTATCACATGGAGATGTCTGGGTTTTAGGCAGCCGACGTCGCAACTTGCTTTAAACTTTCTCAATTTTTTACCAGGGCCTCTACATGTGATAACAAGACACATCGACAAGTTTCGTGATTTTCGGACATCGTTTGGATTTTATATAATTTAAATAAACTTCCCCCGCGAGTACATCGTCATGTTACGATAACATGATGCGCGACATTTCATGCCACTTCCTGCATACGGCCTCGACATAGCCTAAATATCATGAATACTATTTTTTGAATGACCAAATTCCATTATTTCATGTACCTGCAGTTCAAATTTGAAATAGTCAGAAAAATTCAATGAATCGAAAAAATTAAGGAAATATAGTTAAAAAACTCATAATTGTTCCAAATTTTGAAATAGGGATATATTTACTGTAGCAAGTCCCCACAAAAAAATGGGGTAAAAAAACAAAAAATAATAATTTGCCGGCTGCCAGGTCATGGGGCACCCGGCAAAGAAATTTAAAAATAAAAATAAAAATATTCTTTGCCGGGTGCCTAACGGCGTAGCACCCGGCAAAGGCTAACGGCCCCTGGCCGTCGTCAAGCCAGCCACCTTTGCCGGCGGCCATATTTTGCCGAGTGGCCAGCACCCGGCAAAGACCAATTTTTGTCGACGGCTGGAATTTGCCGAGTGCCGGCACCCGGCAAAGGTTGCTTTGCCGGAGGCCTTTCTTTGCCGGGTGCCGCCAGGCCTGACACCCGGCAAAGAATTTCTTTGCCGGGTGCCCGATAAAAAGCATCCGGCAAATTTTTTTTTTTTTTTTTGCTCCCGGCAAATTAGCCGTTTCCTGTTGTGCTGGCGGTGCAGCTGCTGCTCTACTGCGCCATGGAGTGGGGCTCCGATGGGCTTCGTGGGCTCACCGCTTTCCAGAAGCTCGTTGCGGCGCTCTTCATGTCCGTCAACTCCAGGCACTCCGGCGAGATGGTCGTCGACCTCGCCACCATGTCGCCCGCCATCGTCGTGCTCTATGTGCTCATGATGTAAGTAAAGTACGTACATAAATACATCGATCGATATTCGATATATAGAAGATCCAAGATCGTCGGTAGTGTTAATTAGGAAGTTTTGTGCACTACATTTATTATATTATATTTATACATATGACATCAGGCACTGCTATCTAGTTCATGCATAGTTAGTTGCACATGTGCTCATGGTCCACCAACACGTCCAAATATCGATTTGTTATAATATAGTTTGATCACGTTCCAACAATATGTATTGATATTACTACTAATACTAAATTATATAGCCTTACTTGAAACTTATCATCAAGTCATGCGTATGACTATATGATCATGACACATGATGTTTAAGCAGTGTTTTAAATAGCCAGCTATGGCATTTAGCTATCTATGTCCCAAAACAGGCTATAGCAGGACTATAGCGGCAGCTAAGAGATAAATTGTACATGAGAAAACTTACCTAAATCCTTCTCAAACAGCTATAGCCGGAGATTTAAAACCTTGTGTTTAAGCTAGCAAGCATACAAACTATTACTAGTTTTTTTTTCTTTAAATAATTTTACTCGGTTATGCTCATGCTTTACTTCCTCTGCAGGTATCTACCGCCTTACACCACATTTTTGCCCGTAGCGATGGAAGACCAGCAGCAGCAGCAAAATGAGGCACAACCCGACGACAAGAGCAAGAGCAGCAGCAGTATTAGCATCTGGCAGAAGCTGCTCATGTCGCCGCTCTCGTGCCTTACCATCTTCATCGTCGTCATCTGCATCACCGAGCGGCGGCAGATTGCTCACGACCCAATCAACTTCAGCGTCCTCAACATCGTCATCGAAGTCATCAGGTGTTTATTAATTAATCAATTAATATAACTCCAAGCGCAATAGATGATCTCTTGCACTGCACTGGGCTCACAATGAAGCAATGCAACATGGTGATGCGTGCAGTGCGTATGGCAACGTGGGATTCAGCACCGGGTACAGCTGCAGCAGGCAGGTGACGCCCGACGGCAGCTGCAGGGACGCGTGGGTTGGCTTCTCCGGCAAGTGGAGCAGGGAAGGGAAGCTCACGCTCATGGCCGTCATGTTCTACGGCAGGCTCAAGAAGTTCAGCATGCATGGGGGTCAGGCATGGAAGCTGGGTTAAATCAAAGTACTGCTTCGAAACTCGATCTACTCGTTATATTGTTGTACATTTCTCTGTAGATACTAGCTAGATCAACCTGATCTCCAAGACTAGTACTGGAACTCAGATGGAATCAGATCATATGACAAATCCATCTGCGAGACGTTTGGCTGCATTATGTCTAACATAAGAAATGGATCACATCAACGAGTCCACAGTAATCTTATACTCTTATAAAAGCAAAACCCCACTGCCATATTTCTCTGCGATTTCGTGAAGCCACCTCATCAAAGGGTCCACAAGTCACTAAAGTAATCCCATAGCGATCCACGTCATCACTTAGTTTGCACCATGCAATTCTTAGTCTCATAGTATAAAGCAGCCATCTCTTCGACTCCCTCACTCAATGTCCACAACCGACGCATTACATAACGGATTGTGCACCAAACGAACAGCCAGACATTATTTCCACATCGATTCCTCTCCTACATCAATGCAAATACATGTGTAAGAACTTGAACCATCCGTTGCTACCTTCACGTTTAAATAGCTGTGTGTACGCATCTTCATTACCAGCTCCGGCTCTCTGTTTCCTGTCCTCTGATCTCCCTCTATCTAATCCACTTCCTCCACCCCACAACACCATCTGGCAGCCTTTAAATTTGAATAGGATAGTAAGAGAATGTTCTCTCTGTTTCCTCCTCCCTCGATTCGATTCATCGATTACACGTGGACCCGTCTCCTTTGACAGCGGCGAGCTGCAGAAGCGCTCGAGACCTCGAGTCCATCCCGTCGGCACCATGCGGCTCCGTCTCCTTTGGCAGCGGCGAGCAGCAGGATCGCTCGAGTCCACCCGGCTACCCCCAACAGGTGCTAGCCCGCTACATCTCCACCACCTAGACCACAGACTCTGCGGGAGAAGAGGCAGTGAGAAGAGAGAAGGAGGCACCGGAAAAAGGAATGGATAGGCTCAGCTCATGGTTGTTTACTCTTCAATATACGGTTCTTTATTTTTTATATAATATAATTTGTTCGGGACAAGAAGCAGTGAGAGAGAGAAGCAAGCACCAGAAAAAGGAACAGATCGATGAACTCATGGTTGTTTACTCTTCACTATACTGTACTTTATTTTTGTATATAATATAATTTGTTCTTTAGGTGTAAGATCGTAATTATTTTTCCCATCATCTTTACATATGCGCTGTTTTCTATATTTTTTCATGATCGTTAGAATACCCGTCCCTATGAAATTTATATGTTTTCTATCTAATCTCTTGTTTTCTATATGCATTCCTATTATATTTCTATATTATTTTTCTGTTTCTGGGCTTTTTTACATCCTCACGTTCCAAAGGGTCCTTAGCTATAAATTCTTCCAAATTCATATAAATTTTTTTCTATAACGTCTCCATCCCCGCAACAACGCGCGGGGTATTCTCTAGTTAGAACACAAACTTACCTTGTTTTCTTCCTCAAACTTGCAAACCTACGCTGCTTAACCACGTGCCTAGAAATTAGAAAACCATCTTATCTGGGCGAGGAAACAGGCAGGAGGCAGAAGAACACCAGAGATACAGGAGGAGGATGATGACAGGTCGCTCACGTCTCTGTTAACTTTGCCATTGATCTTGCCTCGTTCAGGGCCGGTCTGATACAGATATAGTCTCCAGCATAAACTCCCTCTCCCACGCACCCTTACATGCGTCTCTCTCATGAAAACACGCTCCGACTAGTATGCTTGGATTATGCCTTTTTCACAGGACTGGCAAGGTAGCAAAAACCTGTTGCTTTTATCACAGATACGAGACAATTCAGCACTTTGTTCTTCGATTGTCGATTTGCTCTCACACGGTTTGGTCCAAAGTTGGATAAATTTGGTTTTGATCTAAACTCCTGTAATAATTGGTTTGATTCTTCTCTTGCACAAGAGATGAAGCCGGATATTTATTCCTTTATCTAAAAAAAACTCAGATGGTTTCTAGTCTACCTAAACCTGCACAAGAGCTCTCGATCTGGTGTATGCACTAGAGAATTTCATTGGAGCTTTGAGTTGCATCCAGTGAGGTCCCGATCCACTAGACAGTGCTCCGGATTTCTCTGAGTGATGTAACGGAAAAACCACCATAGAAAAGAAGCAATGGCCAGCAACAACTATTTGGGTAGTAGAGTGCGCCAGATTTCTCCGGTGCGGTCACTGAAGAATACCAATGCATCCTGCCAAGGAAACCCTTGTTTCCAACAGCTAGTTGAGTTGGTTGGGGCTATATATGCCTCCACAACTGGCCATTTAGAGGGTGTTAGAGCTTAAGGAAGCAATAGTTGAGTTGAGGCTCAACCATTTGTGCTCTAGCCGCCATATGCGCTTAAGAGAAGATTAGACGATTGCCTAAACTGCTAGGATTAGTGCTTAGGCTAGTTAGAGGTTTCTTTACCGCTTGTTCTAGATTTACACCTATTGTTTAGTGAGCTTTACATACCATCTTATTACTATCGGTGCTTCTGTACACCAAGTGTTGTACAATGTGACCCTCCAACCGAGTTTGCATTTAGAGTGGCCGCCGGTGGTGTACCAGGGACGTGAGGCCCACGACATTTTGGTTGAAGCTCATCAAGTGCAGACGACGGAGTGCGATCCGGGAATGACTTGGAGGAGACCCACTTGCACGTGGGGAAGGCCCGTGAGCTATCCACAGAATTATCCAACCAGGAGCTTGGCCCTTGCAAGAGCATCCGTGTAAGGGGCTCCAATGAGAACTAGTGAAAAGCAAAAGCTTTTCGATACTTAGATAAAAACATCATCGTGTGGGAGTTTGCATTCTCTAACTCATTTATGTTACCGCATTTACTTGTTGGATTCCTTGGTGTGTGTGCTTTAGCTTGCAAGGATGATTGATAGGGTGGGAATCTAGGGTACAAAACTCCTTTCGTTAGAGACATGAGAACTTAGAAAAAACCTAATACACTTCTAGATAGAACCTGTGTAGGTTTATGTAAGTGGTGTTTGGGCCTTAGTTTTTAGTGTTAGAATTCAACCCATTTGTAATAGAACCATCCAATTTATAAGAGCACAAGTACAATGGTAGCCCACAAGCGGTCGCACTATCATACTTGAGCCCATATAAACCCGGTAGTCCGTCGAGTATCACGAAGGGTCTCGATTCATCGCCAACATACAACTAAAATCATATATGATTCAACATACATGCCACATGTTACATAGGGTTCACAAATACATTGCCATACATCAAAGTGCGATCACAGTTATTAAAACCCAAGTTCCAAATAAAGTAGTAGTAGCGGAAGCAAAGTAATTTTAAAACCAACATCTCACACTATTGTTTAATACAAGCCAGTTCGTGCATCACCGCTAAGATATATAAGTAGAAGCGCTTTGCCTAGGGCCTACTCCTCGTCCACAGCGGGACAGAAGCAATTCTTATAGTAGCCGTGATACACAGTATTATCTGTAACAAGTGGGAAATAAACCCTGAGTACAAGAAGGTACTCAACTAGACTTACCCGTCATAAACCAAAAATAAAGAGACTCCAAGGATCATGCAAGGCTTTATAAGTAGAGCTAGCTTGATAACATTTTGCATAAAAAGCCACTAATTTAGTTATATATTTTATAATTCGGTCATCAAGTTAATTATAGCTATTCATCTCTAGATTAGCAACTAACCTGTGCCAAACATGTTGTGTACAATTAAGTCATCACAATAGTAACCATATCCGGTGTAGCATTTTCATATTCCTTATAACCATCACATTCCATCAATTACTACGAGGAAGGAAGTTCTGTCAAGTTCTCACTATTTGGGAGAGACGGCGATTCGAATCGATTTCAACCAACTGGGAATTTATTCCTAACACAAACCCAGGCAGACCAGATCAACGGTCACCTTAGGTCACCTTTGGTACAACTCAGGTCCAATTCGAGGTCTGATCAGCGCCGCACCCTCAGGGACACTACCGGATGCCAGGTCGATCAGGACTCTAACATGCCCTTGGCCTCACACTGGCTCCCCGCACATCCTTACTACCTCTAGTGTGCGCACTTTAACAGAACGAGGCCCTGCCTGAGTTGAGCTACTCGGCTTTACGGTCGGAATGAGTTATCTGGCCAGCTAAGTGAGAGGCATGCGTTCAAAATGACAAGAGGGCCTCCAAGGATGTGGTCCTTAATCGGCACAAACGGAATCAAATGAGTCAACCTACACATAGACTTCATCCGACCTCTAGTTATATTATCCCATGGTTCTTAGCATACGTACTCTCCCTCTCTCACTTGTAAGCATACGTACTCTCCCTCTCTCACTTGTAACAAGACTTAGCAACAAGACTTAGCATACGTACTCTCCCTCTCTCACTTAGCATACGTACTCTCCCTCTCTCACTTGTAAGGCCATCCCCTTCATCTATAAAAGGGGATGCGCTCTCTCCCAAAAAAAAGATCGATCAGTTCACCTACATCGATTCAACACACAACAACAGAACCGCCAGGTTCAGACCTCGAGCACATGCTCGAACACTTAGCACATAGCGGAGCTCCCATCACTCTCGGCCCTTTAGACTAGAGTCTGACCGGACCTCTTATACCCTCCATCTTTCTCCCTTCCATTTGTAACCCCACAAGAAACTTCGAGCACCTGGGCTTAGGAATAAAGTCACCGACCGACTCAAACTGGACATAGGGCACGTTGCCTGAACCAGTATAAACCCTGTGTCATTGAGTGCTAGGCCACCTCTGATCACAACATACAACAAAACTACAAATATTTATGTGTTGGTCACTTTCTGCACCGACACATATACTCTGTAAGAGTCATGGTCCCTTGGGTGAGCTTCATGAACTCAGCTGCCTTCATGCGCATCAACCCCGGGGGAATATGTTGCCCCCTAAATGCTACCTTGAATTGATCCTAGGTGACATTTGCATTTGTAGGTAGGGAAGACAGATAATGGGTCCACTAGATTCCTGTTGGCCCCTACAACTAATGGGATGCGTACTCTGCCTTCAT